AGAGAGAGAGAGAGAGAGAGAGAGAGAGCGAGCCCTGGTGGCATAGTGGTTACAAATTGGGCTGCTATCCAAGGTCAGCAGTTTGAAACCACCAACTGCTTCTTAGGAGAAAAATAGGTTTTTCTATTCCTGTAAACAGTTGGTCTTGGAAACTCATAGAGGCAGTTCTACCCTGTCCTATAGGGTTGCCATGAGTCAGCATCAACTCCCTGGCAGTGAGCTTGGGTTTTTAGCTGTATATGTTACATTTTATCTGTTCATCTGTTGTTCCTATTTTACTTTTATTGTGAATAATGCTGCAATGGACATTGGTGTACAAATATTTGTTTGAGTCCTGTGTTCAAGTTTTAGGTATCAGTATATTTAGAAGTGGAATTGTTTGGTCATATGGTAATTCTGTTTAACTTTTTCCTAAATTTCCAAGCTATTTCCCACAATAGCTGCACTGTTTTCTATTTGTACCAGCAATGCATGAAGGTTCTAAGTTCTTATCATCATCATCATCATCAAGGTTTATTATTTTTCATTTTTCTTAATATAGATCTACTAATGGATGTGATGATGTATTTCATTGTGGTTTGGGTATGCATTTCCCTAATGACTAATGATGTTCAGCATATATTCATTTGCTTGCTGGCCTATTCAAGGCTTCTTCCCATTTTTAAATTGGGCTGTCTTTTCATTGGTGAGTTGCTACAGTTCTTTATAAATCACAGATATTAAAACATTATGATATGGTAACCAAATATATTCCCCCATTGTAAAGAGAACTATTCATTTTTGTCATAAAGTTTTTGATACTGCACATCCATTAGTATACTTTTAATTTTTTTAAAGTGTGTGATTTTTGTGTCATCTAAGAATGTATTGTCAAAAGCAAAGACTTGATGCTTTGCCTATATGATTTTTTCTAAGAATTTTATGAGTTTAGCTCTTATATGAGCGTAAGCCAAAAAATTGATACAAAATAATAGAAACCTTTATTAAACAAAAATATCAAAATGTGCACCTATTATTTCTTGACATTTTCTCCATTGAGGTCTACACATTTCTGAAGGTGGCCTTTTTGCCTCTCACCATTCCCTGCAGCATTCTGAACTCTTCCACTTACACCACGTCTAAAGGGCAGTTTGGGTATCTTCAAAGGCCACAAAGCAAATCATGTTCCTTCTCAATGTTCCTTGAGTTTAGGTAGCAGAAAAAAAAGGTGGAAGGGCAAGATCAAGGTGGTAGAGTGAATGGAGTAAGGTTTTCCAATGAAATATTCATAAAACAGCACATGTTGCCTTTAAAACGGGTGCCTTATGATGAAAAACAAACCAACAAAAAATCCTTGACACAATTTTCTGGTCTTTACCTCACTGATAGAGCTTTCGGTTTTCTTCATAATAAATCCCTTTGATCATTCTGTGTCATTTGAGAAAAATCTGTTGGTTTTTCAATTTTTACCTGATTTGGAATTCAAACCAAAACCCACTGTCCTGGCTTTCTGAGCTGGCCTCTCTACAAAGGTATTTCTGAGTGGCTGTGATGATGACCAGCCATTAATCGGGAGACGCCCTTAAACAGTTTGGAATAAATCTGTCAGTGTAGTAACAGGAACCCGAGTAACGATGATGTTTTTTAAATGGCTTCTCTTATTTGGGTAATTGACCCCGTTTTAGTTATTTTTTTGGTTTAGGGTATTAGGTATGGCTTCAAATTCATTCTTTTTCCTGTGGAAATCTATTTGTCTCAGCGTAATTTGTGGAAGAGACTTTTCCACCCCTACCGAATGGTCTTGGTACCCTTATTACAAATGAATTGTTCATCAAATTATGGGTTTATTTTTTTACTCTCAATTATTTTCCCTTGATTATCTGTCTACTATGACTAATACTACACTGTTTTGATTACTGTAGCTTTGTAGTAAGTTTCAAAACCTGGAAATATGACTCCTCCCACTTTGTTCTTCTTTTTCAAGTTTGTTTTTGCAATTCAATGCCCTTTGCAGTTTTATATGAATTTGATAATTCACTGTTCCACTTTGCAAAAAAGGCTGTTAAAAATTTGCTAAGTATTGCATAAAATCTGTAGATCTATAGGTGAAGAAATCATGTGTGGGCCACTTCTGACCTCTCCCACCTACACAAAAAAGGAGAATCCAATTCTGTTATCTGCCCAAGGATGACTCCTTTGAACACCTCCTCTCTCCATCCTTCTCTATCCTCTGACACCATATGCACTGCTGCATTTGACGATTTGTTCCAATGGTCACACAGAAATCACAGGCATGATTTGGGGCTTTATTACGGAAGATAACAGGTGATAAAAATTTTAAGATACAATTATTTTGTCTATAGGGCCTCTTTTCAGCCATTCCAGCAGGCATGTCTCTCTCTGGTCTTTAGTCTCTTAGCCACAAGTTCCCTTCATCTTTGCTCATTCTGTCTCATGGTTTCGGTGGTGCAACCTCTGTTGCCTCTCTGCTGCCTCTGCCACTTTAGGCAGGCATCATGCATGCATTGCACTAGAGGATCTACTTTCTGAATGGTTGAAGGATGCCTGTTCCTGCTTCTCAGATGGCTCACTTTTATACCCAGCAGAAAAGCAAACCTCACCAATCCCCAACTTAAGAGTCCTGGTACACCTTATTTGCATGCTACCACCAGATCATTTAGTGGGAGTTAAAAAGACTATGGACAGAGAGCCACTCGAGGTAATCAGCCTATAGTCTTTTTCATTTACTTGCTGCCCCTCCATCATTTGTGTGCTCTTAGGCTAAACTGGGATGACTGTCTTGCTTTCATCTTTCAGGCAGCTCCCAACAGATTAACACACACAGACAATTTGTTAGGACAGTCTGTTCTACTTTGTAGACAGAAACAGGCTCTCCCTTCCGAACTAACTCTTCAGAATATAATTCTCTTCGGAACTATATTGGTATGCCAAACTACCAAGAGGCGGGTAAAGGATCAGGCAAGTAGAAAGTCAAAGGTTCTTCATGGTTTGTATGTTTTATGTATGTTTTTCCCAACCTTGACGCAGACTTCACTTTTTTTTACAATAGCCCTTTGGCTGGTTTCCAGAGTTCTAACAAACTTAGTTCTCCTGGTTTCCACTTGTTTGTTTTATTGGTGTTTTTAAGTGCACAGCTTTTCACCCTACCATCTTGACCAGGCCATTGTTAGCTTCTTGACCAGGTCATTGTTAGCATTTTTTATTTTTTTAATTAAAAAATTAAACCCTCACCATGGAAGCATCTGAATGTGCAATATGCATTCAGGCAGATATAGTAATGTTCCGGTCAAAATAGAGTCTCCTGCCTCAAGGTTCCCTGAAACTTCCACATGTGCTAAGCAGCTGCTTTTCCTCCAAAAAGAGATCCCAAGCATGACGTGGATGACGCCAGACCACACCTTTCATTAGCATTCTACATTTTACCAAGTGCTTTTGCTTAACATTATAGAATTCGATCCTCAACCATCCATCCAATGAAGTATGTTAACACTCTCCTGATGTGTCAGATAAGAAAATTAAGATTCGCTTAGATTAAGTAATTTGTCTGAGCTAGTAGATGCCAGAACTAAAATTGGGAGTACAAATAATCCCCATGTGGTAGCTATGTAAATTTACATCTTGGAGAATACTTAGGCACGGTTAGGAAATGTAATGAGAAAGTAGTAATTGGTGAGACATTTTTCCAATAAAGATCTACTTCCACTTACCTACCATTCAACTCCAGTACAGGCATTTGAATTGCGTGTGTATATGTAAAACCTATTATTTCTCAGTGGGTGGACTTTCACCACCTTACCCATGTTGACGTGAATATCTATTGGAAATATAGGTCCCTGGGCTTCACCTTAGTTGTGTTGATGGGAATTTTTAGGGGTGGATTGATGAAGTTCCATAAACTATTTCACATATATAACAAAGTTTTTTGGATATTCTAACTCACCTGCAGGGTGATTTCAGACCTGGTAATTTATTATTTGATCAATAATATCTACTCAGGACCTTCTAGTGACCTTCTGGTGATCTTCCCACCAATTGTGCTCCTTGAGAGACTGGATTACACTGGATCCCGACTGTGGTGGTGGGTGGCGAGGGGTGGGTAGTGTTCCTGGGCGGGGCGGGGCGGGGCGGGGCAAGGCCGAGCAGGGCGGGGTCTTACGGAATCGAGGGGAAAGGGTTAATGACTCCTCGCGCAGGCGCCGCCCTCGGAACAGGAACGGAAAACAACTTCCGGTTGGAGTCCCTCGGCCGGGCTTCTCGAACCTGAGGCGTTGGAGGCGGCGGCTCAATCCCTTAATCGTGAGTAAGGAAGTTGGTGAGCGGGTTGATGTGTCCGAATCCGCCCGGGACGGCGACGGAGAGCTTGTGTGTGGGAGCGACCGGGCCGCGCTGGCAGTTTCGGGGGCCTCCGGGGAGAAGCTGAGGGACCGAGGAGGCGACCGGTTCTCCGAGTGGGTTGGGTTTTTGTGTGTGAAACGGCCCCCGTCCCACTTCCGGAGCGGAGCCTCGGAGGGGTTTTCCCGGCCCGCCTCGTTGCCGCGGCAACGGCGGCCCCCGCCCTGGCGGCTCCGGGGGAGGAGCTCTGCCCGCCTTCTTTGCGGGGGCGTGGGGGGGCCGCTGACCCTCGTGGCTGCGTGTGAGTGGCCCCGGGCAACAGCGCCCCGGGGCTTCCCTTTGGGACACGGACTGCCTCCCAGAAACAAGTACCGTTGTGGTTCCTCTGTCGAAAACTTTACAGGTTCATTCCTTTCCCAGGGCTGTTACCCCGGCGCTTCTCAGCCTGTGGGTCGCGGACTCCTCTGGGGGTTGGACGACCCTTTCCCAGGGGTGGCCCGATTCGTCACAGTAGCAAAATGACAGCGATGAAAACCATTTTATGGTTGGGGCGGGGGGGGGGGGGTCACCGCACCAGGAGGAACTGTATGGCAGGGTCGCGGCATGAGGAAGGTGGAGAGGCCCCGCGTTACACAATTTCGCGATCTGCTTCCCGGTAGGGTGTTCTCAGAGCCGTGTCAGTGAGAAGTTGGGTAACCTCCCTGAGGGTCACGGAGTGAGTGCAAACCCTGCCCCCAGTGGGAGCCCCGGCGTTAGGTTTCAGAGTCCCCACCCCGGTGTCAGCTCCAGAAAGGGCGGTGTTGCTCCAGCCTGGCCAGGTCTTCTAACCAGAGGGGTGTGCCCCTCACTCAGCGAGAGTTGAGCCCGCTGCCTGTGCAAAGTGCCCTCCATCTCACCGCAGGTGCTTTGGACAAGTTGTCGTGTGGGCGAAAGGATGATAAAGTTTACCCATCCTAGGAAGGAAAAGAAAAATGATTTGCCTTGACAACCATGCCTGTATTTCGGTCGAGAAGTAGCACAGAAGCAAGTGCTGTGTTCTGTTGGGTCTCTTTTTTCTCTCCCCTCTTTTGAGAAGGGGGAAACCCAGTCTTGAAAAATACAAGTATCTTTAAAGCAGAAAGTGGAGCTGTTCCTCAGCCCTCTCCCAGGCAAAGGTATTTCCAGACTCTGCACATCCCTCTTCTATGTGCAGAACCAGTGTTATTTCCCTATCTCCTGAAGGAAATTCGGAATACTGTTTTCAGCTCAGCGGTGTTTGGGGTGTTTTTTTTTTTAAGCAAAAATATGATGAGAGGCTTGCCATCTTTACTGTCTACATAGTATTCATTTGTTTGCAGCAATCTCTTAGTATGCGCCCTCCCTGTGTATTTTACCCAGTGTTCTTCAAAAGTCATTTACGAATTTATTAGGCCACAGACACATTGATGTATTATGAAATGTGAAAGTGCTTTAAAAAGTTTGTGGACACATTTCATTCTCTTTTAATTCCCTCTTTCCACGAACTTTGCAAAGCCCTGTGGTAAATGAATTTGAGGACTGTTAATTTTAAGAGCCCATGCCTTATATCTGGCTTAGGAAAGGCCCCTCTACTCAAAAATTATTTTTAAATTTTCCTATATTGTTGTTAATTCTTTTTCACAAGTTTGTTTTATTTTACACTTTACTCATTGAAACCGCTAAAAATTGTTTTTTGTACATTATATAAGTTAGGGATTTATTTGTTTTAATTTTACAGAATGAGTAGCCATTTTCCCTAGATTCCCTTGTTGAAATCAGCTCTCCTAACCGATTGGAAATGTCATCTTAGTAAAGTCATGGGTCACTTTTGGGACTCTTCTGCTTTAATCTACTTGTCTCTTCCTATACCAATACCTCTGCTTTGATGATAGTATATTTTTAATGATTTATAGGGTACATTTTCCATTTCCACCCTCTCCAAATTTTCCTGAGGATAATGCACTATCAGATAAGATTTAGAATATGCTGTTCATGTTTCAGGAGTCCTGGTGGCATAGTGGTTACAGGTTAGGCTGAGATTTGCAAGGTCAGCAGTCTGAAACCACCTGCAACTCGTGGGAGAAAGAGGAGGCTTTCTGCTGACAGGAAGAGCTGCAGTCTCAGAAACTCACAGAGGTGGCTCTTCCCTCCCCGGCCTTGTTAGAGTTTCTATGAGTCAGACTTGATGGCAGTGAGTTTTTGAGTCCATATATCATTAAAGTAATCCTTTGGGGATTTTAGCCTCTTTTTTTTAGCTGGTTCATAGATGAGTGTTTATACGTCAGGTTACCCTTCTTTGTTTTAATATATTGTTTCTTTGTAGGAAAACAATCATTAAATATAATAATAATCTTATCCCGTCCCTTATATTGATTTCTCTGGGTTAATAAATTGAGAAAACCATGACAATAGCAATAATCCTGCCCATACTTTTGTTGTTTCTGACTTTGGGCATGTTTTCACTTGTTAACATTAAATATGAAGAAATTAACTTTCAGTAATTTCTATTTCAATATAAGGGAGTATTAATATTTTTAGCATACTGGGACTACTGCAAAAAATAGGTATTTTGATACTGTCTCTTTTTTTCTCCCTCTTTTTAGTCTGTTTGCCCTGGATAGCACTTTGAGAGGAATATTAAATAACAGATGTTGAGTGTTCATTTCATATGTATAGTTCTTGTCATGTTATGATAATGCTCTTTCATTCTAATCTAACTAAGCATTTTTTATCAGGAATTGAGGTTGAATTTTGACACATGCTTTTTTAGCATCTTTCAAGGAGCTCTGATTGAACTGTTAGGTAAACATTGCAATGCTATCCATATAGTCAGCAGTTCAAACCCACCAGGTGCTTCAAGGGAAACAGATGAGTCTGTCTGTGCTGTAAAGATTTATAGCTTCAGAAGCTATGGCTCTGCAGAACCATGTCATATCCAATGTGAAGGTGGGGGGGCATGGAGTGGAGAACCAATGTCCATCTGTAGACAATTGGACTTCCCCTCACAGAGGGGTCGCAGGGAAGAGATGAGCCAGTCAAGGTGCAGTATAGCACCAATGAAACACACAACTTTCCTCTAGTTCTTTGGTGCTTCATAACCTCAATCCTACCTTACAAATAGAATTCGTCCAGAACATGCACACTGCTACAGATAAGAGCCCGCAACACAGGGAATCCAGAATTGATAAACCCCTCAGGACCAACAATGAGAGTAGAGATACCAGGAGGATTAGGGGAAGATGGGAGAAGAAAGGGGCAATCGATCACAAGGATCAAACTAGAACCCCCTCCCAGGAGGACGAATTATGGAAAAGTGGGTGACGGGTGACAGAGATATGAAAATAATAATCTATAACTTATCAAGGGTTCATTAGGAAGGGTGGGCTGGGGAGAGGGGGGAAGAAATGGGGAGCGGATATCGGGCTCAAGTGAGAAGAGAATGCTTTGAAAATGATGATGGCAGCATATGTGCAAATGTGCTTGACACATTGGATGATTGTATGGATTGTGATAAGAGATATAAGAACCCCCAATAAAAGTAAGGGGGGAAAAAAGTTATTTCACTAATGCTGCCTCTCTTAGCACCAGCAATATTCAAGATGCATATTTCCTTTGTTGACATTAAAATGCCCCCCCCCCCAAAAAAAAGAAAGAAACTGTCAGTCCGAATCAACTTGATGGCAACGTGTTATGACACAATGGCTTCAAAGAGTTTGTGAAAAAATCCTTTGGTGAGTTTAAGCTATAGTTAGCTTTTTCTGTGTTATCTCTGCCAGCTTTTGATAATGGTTATGCTGTTTGATAAGAAGAATTGGGATGTAGTTTAAAAAGCATAAGAACCCTTTATTCTTTGAAGATCTGAAGGAATTTACTTTTGGGTCCATAGGATCCTAGTAATACAGTAATCTTTAAAAAAAAAATTAAAACAGTTTTGTTGACACATAAATTCACTTACCATACAATTCTATGGTTTAAAAATAGTAAAAAGGTGGTTATGCAATCATCGGAAAAATTTTAGAATATTTTTATTTTAGCACTCATTAGCTCCCTTTTCCCCACAACATCCCATGACATAACCCTAAGTAACTATTCATGTAGTTACTGTTGATAGATTTACCTCTCCTGTGTTTCGGAAGCCTTGGTGGTGTAGTGGTTATGAGCTGGGCTGCTAAAGGTAGCAGGTTGAAACCACCAATTATCTCTGAAGGGGAAAGATGAGTCTTTCTTTCCCCTGTAAAGAGTCTCAGAAACCCACAAGGGCTCTCTGTGTCCAATTGGGCTGCCCTGAGACAGCTTTGACTCCATGGTAGTGAGATGGATGGATCACTCCTGCATTTCATATGAGGGAATTCACCCCCAAACAACAACAAAGTAAAACACAGAAAAACCTCAATTTAAAAGAAACAAAAATAATGAAAACTAGGCCTAATTAAAAATATATAAAAACAAATATAAGATGTTAAATGTTAACCTAATTATAGCTACATTAATTCACATTCTAATGTACTCTGTAAGAGACAGGACTATTCATATCCCTGGTCAGTGGTCCAAGGGAATACAGTGGAGGCTTAATCACCACAGGAATTCTGCAAGTGGATTTTAGGCTTTCAGTGTCATCCATAGCCTTCTTGCAGGCAATACCTTAAATTCTAAAGGCAATATTATTCAGGAAAAGGTCCATAACTTAAACACAGACAAAAACTTCTCAAATAAGTGAGACAATAATGTTAAGGACAAAAAAGAAACGTATTGACTTTGGCCATTTTTACCCTTCACTTTGTTTACTTTTTCATGGTCAGAGAAAAAGCTGAGACTAAGTTAATTGTCTTTCTCTCTTCAAATGCAGCATGACTATAAAGAGTATAGCTTCTACCTGGGCAAGTTCCTATGTGTCCTGACAGATGCCAATAGTGACACTCATATAAAAGCATCAGTTCTAGCCTCCCAGTTTTGCCAGGAATTTTTTC